GCTCAGGCAGGTGGTGGCAGCCTGTGGGGAAGGAAGGGATGGGGGTTTGTCTTACAGTCAAGTCAGCAGATGGGGCCTCTCTGAGGCCTGGTCTCTAAGGAAAACAACAGCCCCCCTATACCAGGCTTACGTGCTCATTCCTAGGGAGGGCAGCCACAGGTGGGGGAGGACTAGCAGCAGCCGGAGTGCTGAACAGAAGCGGGCATGGCGTGCAGAGTACCCTGTGCAGAACACCCTGGCTCAGGTCGATTTTAGGGGAACCAGGGACTTCCAGGGCTGAGCCCCCTGCCCTTTCTATGGAGCCGGGCCAAACCCCACCAAACAGAAGAATTTTATATAATTTCTGTCAGGGCCAGCAGCAGAGCCCGGATCCGATGCACACACTAGCCTGTGGCGCACTGCCTCAGTTACAACACTTGCATGGGTGGAAGGCATAAGAGCCCAGCAGCTCTTAATCCATTCATGGATTTAAAAGTAGCCATTCTCCTCCAAAAGCATTTCACCAGCCAATTAGAGAGAGAAAGTGCGGGAATTGACATTCATATGCAAATTAACACTGTATCCCTGGGCTTGAACCAAGACATTAACTAGATGTCGTATTATAAAGCCAGTTCCCCTGCCTTTAACTCCTCATTGTTACATCAAAAACTAGTATGGGACAGTTCCACACAATTAGCCTCATTAGCACCGATACGACAATTGACTTCTTTTTCTGTTATAAATTCTGGGCTCCTGGTTTGTTTGTTTTTTTACACTCCAGCTCATCTGAAGAAGTGGGTTTTCCCCATGAAAGATCACAATGCTATGCATTTATTTATATTTGTTAGTCTCTAAGGTGCCACTGGGCTACTATTTACTTGTAAGGTTACAGACTAACACAGCTACCCCTCAGATTAAATTATGGGGTCGACCTATTGTTTCCTTCCAAAAATTGATGCAAACCCGCCTTTTACCTCACAGTACTCCCTCCCCATTTTAAATCAGAAAAAAAATTCCACAAAAACAAAATGTTCAGTATACTCTGCCTTTTCAGCGCATGTAACAATATTTTCACTTTTTCCAGCCAAGCTTTTAGCTACTGTGCGCTCTCTGTTGCCACCACAATTAATATTCTGCATGCCAGAAAGAGAGGGGAAAAGTGTCTTCCCCGTGGATTTTCGGAAAGGCATTCCATTTTGCACTGCAGCTTGTGGTAGGCTAAGGCACATGATCTGCAACAGAACCAGGTCGATTCATTGCTCATCTGTTCACTCTGATCTAATCTTGTTCTTTGAGGTTGGGCAAAGGAACTTTTCCTGGGAATTTAACACTGGTTTCCAAGGCATTAGTCTGTTTCTTTTTATACTTAGAAGTCATCCCAAACAGGGAGAATAAAAGATTTCCCACCCCATTACTGGCATGACGAATACATCTCTGTAATGCTGGTTTCGCATGGGGTAACTCCACTGACTTCGTAGCTTCAGCAATTTAATGACTGGAAGTGACCATCATGACCATGAGGGATTCCTCCACTGAATCCTCTCTGTCCCCTGCTCCCCAGTAACTTACGACTTTTACCAAGGCTTCACTAGAGTTACTGCCTCATCCTAGGGCCATGGGAAGCGACTATACACAAGCACAAGAATTCACTACCATCAACTGCTCAATGCACGTTCCATTGGTCCTTCCTGAAGGGCAAAATCACCTTCTTCCCCACAGCTCTGCCCAGAGAGAATCTCGTCTGCTCCGGCTACTTGTGCAGCTCCCACATGGAAGTCAGCAAGCGAGGCCAGGTTTTCAAAAGAACCCAGCCTGGTTCTGAGCCCTTAGGAAAAACTGGCCCGTGTTGCAGATGCTGAGCCAGGGCCAGAACTCTGTTGCAAACCCGGCCTTACTATTCAACCTGCAGTAGGAGGCACCCCTCACATTTGGCTCCACGGGGCTTTCAGCTGGATTAAACGTCTATTTGCAAACTGCCTTGGCTCTCAGACTTCTGTGCTGCACCTGAAAACCTTGCGCCTTTGGAAAGCAAATGCCCTGGGGAAGCTTTTCCTCTCTAACCATTACCTACCACTAGGCAGGCGAGTTCCAGGCATTCCTTCGCCCAGCTAAGAGCGCTTTCCAATCACATCAGACATCCTTTTTCCATGAATAAGTGTTGATGCTCACTGGAAAACTCTGCAAAGACATTTGCTCAGAAACAATTCTTCTGGTATCATGTTTTCCTGGGGTTTTTTCCTTTCCTTTTTTAAAAGGTTATTATTACTGAAAACATGGTCGCTGCTGCTCAGGAATTCATCTGTTCCTGTTATTTATTCTTTGTCTGAAGTCACAGGGCCCTGTTCTCCTTTTATTTGGGATTTTCTCCCGGGAACCTGATAGGGACTGTCCAGATTTATGCCACTGTAGCTGAGAACCAGTGGGGGCCCTTACGCACCCGAAGCACGAACAGCACTGTGAGAACGACTGTCCTCGTCAAGCCACACGAGGTTTCAAGGGAGGAAGGAGCTGGGGGAACGGACAAGCAGCAGGCCATAGGGCGAAACGCCAGCCTGATAACTAACCAGCACGGTCTCTCCAGGGAGTACTCCACAAGGCTTCACCGGCCCTCCCAGCGAGCCATCACCCAGGCGGTGAGCGAATGGGTTTGTCTAGGAGGGTCTGTCACATCTGGCCTGCTCCCAAGGTCTTCTCTACACCCCCTCGCCACTCAGCACCATTGGTCTCTGCTTCTTCCCTGCACTCCTGTCTACTGCTTCTCCTTCGTACCCCTCAGCCTGACTCCCCACAACCCCTCACCCTCTGGCTTGCCAGACTGCATCTCAGTCCCCACATTCCTTGCCTCCTCCTGGTCCTGAAACCATCCTCTCAGTAGCCCCCTCATCACCCAGCGTCTGCCCCCACCTCCCTCCATCCCCCCCTCCTCCGACTCCCCTCAGCA